ATTTTTATAATTTTTTTTTTTTTTATTTGAGATTTTGCGTGGAACAATAATGAATTGTATTGATTAAAACGAAGGGTGTTGTTTTTTCTTTGATTTTTWAGTTCCTTAGATTTGAAATTGTAACACAATATTTATTATTATTATAAACTAAATTATACCAATAATTATTATTGTTTCTATAATATGTATAATTAATGCATTTTGAAATTATTTTTAAATAGGTAGTAGGTACGCGTAGAACAAATGAAAATTATATATAAATAGTGTATACTCAAACCGCCTCTGAGTGAGCCCTTTACATTTTTAAAAAGTTTCATAAAATATAGATGTTCAAATAAAACTTGAATATTTTTAAATTCTCATTCATTTATAATTCATATAAAAAACAGCTTTGTACAATTTATATTATGATTTAAGTCTGGCTAATAAAAATAAAAATGTAGTTAACAGTTAAATTTTAAGCTATATCCATTATCCACCTTTTTAAAGTAGCAAGTATCTATGATATTTTTGACATTGATATATCTTATCAATATATAGTTAAAACAGATAATTTAATGATGAGGTTTGATAGTTTCTATATTTTTTAAACCATGTCTATTATCTGAAAAATTGGACCACTTCTCATTATATGATTGGGTATTCAATTAAGATAATTAAAAAATAAAAATTTAGTTTTAAAAATGAATTTTATTTTCACATCAATTAATTGTCAAATAAATGATTTGCGTGCWATTATCTTATCAGATAATTATAATTTTACTTCAAACCTTTCTAATTTAATTTTACCAAACAGTTTGTATATTTCAAATGCTAGAAGTGTATGTTATGGAAACTTATGTACTATAGAAGTTTAAGGAATAAGGACATAATATATACGCACGTGACTATGATGTTAAGATGAGTATCTGGAGTAATCGTAGATACTGTAATAATATTTATGTGGAGTTTTTRAGAGTCTGGAAATTGTTGATAAATTAAAGAGATTTGTTTTATGATATAAAATATGAAAGTACAACATTAACATAAATTTAGCAAAACAAAATTAATACTAACCAGYCAGTAACCACTGTAACACTGGCAACGTGAATTATATTTAAATAATATCTAATTATGGATATGCAGTTTGTATTGTTGGATAATGTATTATTTTTATAGGTATATATTTGGACATTATATTGTACAATTAATTAATAGGTACCTACATTAGATGATTTTTAATAAAGAGGATTTATTTTTTTAATTAGAATATTTTGTTTCATAAATTTTAATTAGATTAATATTTAATATACATAAGTATTTATTTATATATGAATCTACTAAAATTGTTGTTCTTACAGTAAAACATAACTGACGTAAGTGTTAAAACTTAAAAATACATAATGTCTCAAGTTATTAATGATATATAAATATTATTATAAAACAATAAATKAAGTAGGTACCTTTATTTACCTATATAGTATAGTACCTACAACTTTTTTTTATATTTGCCATTATAATTTTAAAAATATTGTAGGTACAACAATTCCYTCATTATGTTAGTATAAAAATTATAAAAATGAAATATTTTTTTAACACATTTTAGTAAGACTACGTTTATTACCACRATATGTAATAATATTTTTTTTTTCGTAACATCCGATTAGAGAGGATATATAACAATCAATTTACAAATTTGAAAATATAAAAAATATATTATTGTAAGTCCACTATTTGAGCATGCCCGTAGATATATGATAATTACAACAATACGTGGCCGTTTCATTAACTTCACTCGACCATTGTATTATAAATTTAGATGTCAGAGATCAAAGGTCTCCAAGGTCTTATTCGTTCAACCGAAGTTTATATTCTATTAATGTCGATGCAATGTGCGATGGTTTCCGAACCGTAGACTTTTTCTTGTTTACTGCACATTCCGCTGTTGCTATTGCAGCTACAATGAATGTCCTATTTGCGCAATGCCCGAACGCCAATAKATATAGTAAGTAATAACTAATAAGTCATGAATATATACTTACCTTTTTTTTTTATCTCTGCGAACATATTGTGTTAAAATAACTTTATAATATTATATGCAGTGTTTTTCGTGATGATRTGTTGACAAGCGAGTTGTATGCACACAACTGTTCAATATTAATTATTATCATATAATATTTTAATCATTTATAAATAAACTATAATATCGACTATACACCATAAATGGCTACTATACTGGTAGGTATCTATTATTGTATAATTATTTTACGTAGTTAAACGTAACTTAAATAGCCTAAAATCACAATATAATATACGCACGCCTATAAATGCGACAATTCTTTAAAATTGATTCGATGGGTTTTGCTTTTGTCCATAGCATAATATATAATATGCATATGAGCAATGTRTATATTGTCACCGGTCATGAACTGTGTTTCATCCAAAATGGTAGACCCCGGAGTTTCGACGTCTTTCTCTTATACGGAGTATTATACCCTATACTCGCATTACATCTGATTCTGAAACGATGACCAAACATAACTATCATGACGTATTATTGACAACTACATAAATCACCACGGTGCCACCGTTGACAACGATACGAAGATGCCATCACATTATTTAACGTCCAACATACACATTAGGAAATAGGTATACAAACATGTTATACCAACACCATGTTGAATATATTTTAATGTAGAATATGGCGTACAATTAATATATTAAGTAACTATGTATACCTATAAATTATTATAATTAATTATTGTGAATACACACAGCACTTCACAAGTATTATTATATCAATAAAGATCAGTGTTCTTGAAGACAATTAAATGAAAACTAATTTTTTTAGTTAACAATTTTACAGACATTTATTTTTTAAATATTGTACACATAAAATATAAAAAGAAGAAAAATATATGTCAGTCAAAGAAGACAGAACATTAAACACGTAAAGTACAATATAGTAAATATTATAACTTCTATTTTTAATTTTTAATTTTTTACACAAGTAATAAAAGTAAAATAATAATATACACTTATACGTAGACATCAAACTTCACAAACTAGATAGAAAAATCTTTTAATTTATAATAACAACGATTTAATATAGTAACGTTTTTTTTAGTATATATATATATATATATATATATATAATATTATGTATAATGTATATAACAAATGTTTGGCAGCTCAAAAATGGAATAATTTTGCCTGCCATGTGCTTGA